CTTCTGCTTCAGTTCCTGCTTGCAGCTTCCGCCTTGAGTCCCTGCCCTGACTTCCCTCGGTCCTGGAACTCACTTTGTACACCAGACTGGCCTCAAATTCAGAACCCCCCCCCCTACTTTTGCCTCCCAGGTGCCCCAACACTGCCTGGCTTAAATCTCATTTTTTAATTAATTTATTTCTTTACGAGTTTTAACTTTTTACCTTACTTATTCTCTCTCTCTCTCTCTCTCTCTCTCTCTCTGTGTGTGTGTGTGTGTGTGTGGGCGCGCGTGTGCATGTGTGTGTGTTAGGGGTGATGCACACGTATGCGATAGAGTGGCGGTCACAGGACAGCACGCAAGAGTTGGTTCTCTTATTCCACCATGTGGGTTCCAGGATCAAACTCGGGGTTTTCACCTTGTTGGAAAGTCCCTTTACTGGCTGAGCCATCTCATTGACTCAGTTTATTTATTCAGAAATAAATATTTTAAAAGATTGGTGTCTTTTAATTTAATATGTGTGGATGGATAGTTTGCCTGAATGTCTGTCTGCTCACCACATGCATGCAGTGCCCATAGGGGCCAGAAGGGGGCATTGTATCCTCGGGAAATGGAGTTACAGATGGTCGTGAGCTGCCACGTGAGAGCTGAGAATTGAGCCTGTGCGCCGGACAAGGGCAGTAAGTGCTGCTAACTGTTGAACTCTCTCTCCAGTCCCATGGGTTTTGGACTTGTTTGATTTTGGAGATGTGAAGCCTAGGTTTGACTAGACATTGTGCAGCCTAGGCTGCCTCTAGATTCCCGACTTAGCTTTTCTGGTGCCGAGGCACGCGCATTCCACCATTTATTTGCATAATTACTTATGTATTCGAGAAAGTTTCACACTGTAGCCCAGACTGCCCTGAGCCCACAGCAGTTTTTCTGTTTCCGTCTCTTGTGTGCTGGGATTACAGGCATGAGCTCTCAGGCCCGGTCTGTGGCTTTCCTTTGAAGAAGGGTTCCTTTTGGCTTTGGACAGCTGAGAAGAGTCACGGCATGGGCTGTGAACAGGGGACAATCGGGTCCCTCATTAGTGACCTCGGACTCCACAGCTCCGTGACAAAGAGCAAGAATAAAGTGCCATTAGTTCCGGAAGCAAAGCAGAAATAGACCGGCTAACTTCTATGCTCTGTGCTTTGGTACTAATACTTCTTACCAGTTGTTTCCCAAAGGGACAGTCGGGTGTGAGAGTTCAGCCATTGCAACAGCGTGCCCTCAGGCCACCTCCTTCTTCAGGCTCTAGGTGTCAGCCGCACACAGCCTTTCTCTCTCTTAAGGTCATGAGAGTTTGTGAGAAAACGACCCCTTCTAACCACTTTCTTCCTTGTTAAAGGGGTCAATTTCTTCTTATTTTCAGCAAGAAAACGATGAGAACTGTCTCTCAGATACTGGAAGTAGGACTGTACTAAAGTAAGCACTTGATAAATATTCAAAAAGAGGTGTGTGTATAAAGACAGCGGTACATGTCAGGGACTAGATTAAGGCTCATGAGTCTCACGGAACAGATTTGGAAGTGCTGAAATTAAAGCAGGTCTCTTAAAAAAAATCAGTCATGACATTAATTCAAAAACACAAGGACGGGCTGGAGAGATGGCTCAGAGGTTAAGAGCATTGCCTGCTCTTCCAAAGGTCCTGAGTTCAATTCCCAGCAACCACATGGTGGCTCACAACCATCAGTAATGGGGTCTGGTGCCCTCTTCTGGCCTGCAGGCATACACACAGACAGAATATTGTATACATAATAAATAAATAATTAAAAAAAAAAAACACAAGGACCCTAAGACCAGAAGATCCCTAGGCCAGCCTGGGCTACATAATGAGACCCTATCTCAAGCCACCACCACCAAAGAGGAGAAAAGCATAAGTCTTGTTTCTTTCTAAGCGAAGGAAACCAAAAGGCTGACAGTTCGCTACAGTGTCCTGAGAAAGTTCGGTGTAAGCCAGTGACAATCTGCTGGCCCACAAGCAGATCCCATGCTTGCTTTTTGACCTCTAATAAGACACTTCTTTGAGCCTTGGCCTAATATTTTAAAACTCTTAAAATACAAGTTTTGGGAAGGGGTTAGTTCCTTCAATCCCAGCACTCAGGAGGCAGAGGTGTAGATCACTATGAGTTCAAGGCCAGCCTTATTTACCTAGTGAGTTCTAGGCTAGTCGTAGAGAGACCCTGACTCAAAATTAAACAATAACAAGTTGGCTTTGTCTATCTAAATTTTTAATGGGGAAGGAAAAAAGAGACATTATTCAGAAAAGTTGCAAGGCACTATTTAAATGCAACAAGTAAAGGAAAAAGTACAAAGATAAATGTGAATCAAAGTTATAGCTTAAGTGATCAAAATGTAAGGGATTTCAATTAATTTTTCACAATTTTTTCTCAACATATTACACCAAGACTTTTATTCCTTTCTTGTGTTCAATATTAGTTGCTTGAGATCCTGACATATACAGTTTTTATACCACAAAAATGTCAGCCCAGCAGCCCAGAGACATATAATATAAATTAAAGTCCCTTTGAGGAAAGGAGGTTCCTTTCCTAGCTTTCATATTTTCCCATCAATAAATAGCTGCAAGACACTCATAGATTCCAAGTACTAAAGAAATGGAAATGCTAGTCTTTAACAAGCCTCCCTTTCTCCTTTGGTGACACACTGTGTACCCCCAACGTTTCTTTGCACTTATAATTTCTTTCTCTCCCAACTTTATCAGGCCAGGGAACTGGAGCGTACACACCGCTGTTCATCCTCACTCACTTCAGACAGGAGGGCTCTCAGACCCACCGCGTGCTTGTCTGCAACCGCATCCTAACTAGAACTACCAGACATTACCGAAAGAACTCGTGTCTGGGGAACAGAAAGATTTTATCCTTTGATGTTGAACTCTGAGCAGAAGTCTTAAGACTGGATTGTTTAATAATGAATCCATCAAGTCTTCCCTTCTTGCTTTCGAAGGTTGTCAAGAAAGGCCAGAGACAGTTCACACCACTTCTTCATTTTCGCCTGACTCGGTCCTCACTCTCTCTCACTCTCTCCCATGGAGGTCTGTGCTATATATTCCAAACCTTGTCTATTCTTTTTGTTGAAAATGATTTACTCCCCCCCCCGCTTTTTTTTATTTTTTATTTATTTATTTTTTTGCTGAGGCCTTCAATCTGCTATATCTTGAACCAACAGAAAGAGAAGGGGTTGAGATCTTAACCTTTGAAACCTCTCGATACTTGCTGAGCTGGGTGGTCAAGGGGCAGATGGGAGAGGAGCTGCTGGGAGGACTTTGCTCCATCCCGGAAAGCTCTTTGAGATAGCTTAGCCAACCCCATCCTAAAGGGTTTTAGTTTTTATCTCCCTAAAATACTCAAGTGTTTTAGAACATTTTCCAAAAAGTGAAGCCAGATTTGTGTAGCTACTGGTCAGACTGGGAAAGTAGGTTCTTTGTCTTATTGAGACAGAATCTCACTGTGTAGCTCTGGCTGGCCTAGAACTCAATATGTAGGCTCAGGCTGGCCCTGAGCTCACAGAGATCCACCTGCCTCTGCATCCCAAGTGCTGGGATTAAAGATGTGTGCCACCATGCCCTTTGGAATTTTATTTTTGAGATTTATTTTAAAAGCAAATAATTGTGTGTGTGTATGTGTATGTTAAAAAAAACTTTAGTTTTTCAGCGTTGTCTGTAATATTGTTTCATGTTGTTTTTCCAAAGTACTTTACAGTTAGAAATAGACACTGTTCTTGAGGTAAAGCAACAGTTTTGAATTAAATTCTTCAGGGAAGTGGAGGCACAATGTACTGGAAGGATGCTCATCTCTGTCAGTAAACCTGCTCTGTAATCAGCGAGGGGCTTGCAATTCTCCCATCTGAAGGTCAAATAATTTATAGGTGAGTTAAGTATTAGTAGTTATGGGAGGAAACCAGAGTCCTCCTTATCATGCTTCAGATGAACCTTGCATCTTCTTGATGATATTATTTACCTTTCATGATAGTCCCTAAAAGAAACTCTTCAGCCTTAAACCCTTCCATGCTGCCACTATCAAAGCCCCTCCCCACCCCCGCCCCCGCCCCAATTGCAGGAAACAGCTTGCTGATGCTATTCTTACAGCCTTCTCGACCTTGTCCTCGAATGATCCACACCTCAAGGGCCAGTTTATTTCTGAAGGCATCAAAAGCCTGCAAAACCGTGGCATTATAGAGCTCAGAAATGCTGTGCGACCTGATGCAGCCTTGACCAGTGACTTCTCCCTGCGGCCGACCCTTCCCCTCGCTTCCACTAGGAGGAAAAAGATAGAAATATTTTAAACCATTTTCTCCGTGATCTTTGCGGGGGGGGACACTAATATTTAAATAGAAGGGGGGGAGGAGATGCGGCTGAGGATGGCGAGGAGGTGGGGGCGGAGCCTCGCGGCCGCAAATAATCGCCGGCCGCCGCTGAAAGGGAAGGAAGGACATTCGCAAACGCAGCAGCCACTCTGCCGGCACCCAGCGATGGGGCTGTTTGAGGCTTGAGCGCCGCCGAGCTCTGACCGGAGAAGGGCGAGAAGGGCCAACCACAGCAGGTGGAAATCCGATCCAGAGCCAAGGAGCGAGAAGAAAGTACCTGAGCACGTCTCCTCCTCCACCCCTTCAGCTAGCGAGAACTACTTTTACCCTCCTCGTAAGAGAGACTGAGGGAAGGTGAAGGCTATCTGTTTATTAGAAGGGCTTCAGAGAATCCCGAACAGGGCAAGCCGCCGCCCGGTACACAGCTGAGCAGAGCCATCCTGGGCTTCTGAAGATAAACCCTTTCCGGAGAATTCCAGCTGGAGTCGCTAGTACAGTTCTATTTTTATATTTAATATATATATATATATATATATATATATATATATATATATATATATATATATATGCATATGCTCTTCGCCTCCCCTTTTTTGTTTGTTTGTTTGGTTGGTTGGTTGGTTTTGGGGATTTTTTTAATTTTTTTAATTTTTTGGTTTTTTTTTTTTCGAGACAGGGTTTCTCTGTAGCTTTGGAGCCTGTCCTGGAACTAGCTCTTATAGACCAGGCTGGCCTCGAACTCAGAGATCCGCCCGCCTCTGCCTCCTGAGTGCCGGTCACCTCCCTTTTAAAAACACGGCCCTTTCTGGTAGCAGGAGTGACACGTGTCAGTACAGAGTGGGAATATTTGCTGCTCTCTCTCATTTGCTGTCACTTTTAGAGGTTAGGAGCGCTCTCTGTTTCTGAAACGGGCGTTTTAATTGGGAACTCGTTTTCCACGTATCTATACATTTACACGCACAAGAAGCGTTTAGAAAGAGACAGTTCCTTTTAGCTGGTGGAGATCCGAACCCTACGGAGAAAGATGGAAAAGGGGGCCCGACACCGAAACAACCCTGCGAAGAACCCCCCGGGTGGGAGCAGCTCAGACACCAGCCCTCAGGCCGAGGCTGACTCGGGAAGCGGTGGTGTGGCCCTGAAGAAAGAGATCGGATTGGTCAGCGCCTGTGGGATCATTGTAGGTGAGTCCAGGTCCTCTAGGACCCCAGCACCACCCCATCCCCTCTCCCGGGGTCCTCCGTGGGACATGAACCTCTCCATGGCTTTGCTTTATCTAAGACCTGTGTTGTCCCCCACCTGTGCTGGCCAAGTCCCTGGTCAAGAGCTGTGGGAGAGTGATGTCTGTCATACATCGCCTCAGCCAAGCCAGGCAGAGCGGTGCTTTCCTCAGAACAGAACAAAAAGAGTTCAGGAACCAGACTGGCCCTGCGTCCCAAGCATTGCCTGGGAATTTGTTTAAAGTGTAACAAATTCTTTCCGGCTCGTCCCTAGGCAGTTCCGATCCAGGAGATCCTAATTCAGGCTGAGACTAGATTTTTAACTAGCATTTAGCAGCCACCCACAGCGGGCTGTGCACCCGCTTCGGAAGCATATTTAGTATTCTGTTGTCTTACGTTATGAAGCTCTGGGGCCGGCGTGTCATGCAAAGAGCAAAAACAGCAATAACACTGCTCTGACTCTGTAGGCTGGTCCCTCCGATGTAGCCCTTGTACAGCAGATGCTGCAGGGCTGTTCTTCCTGTCTCATAGAAGAGGAAAATATGGAAGGGGAACCGGCTGGTTGGACTATGTTCTGCTCTAAGTGGAGTTTGCCGTTTCTCTGGTTGCCTAGTGGGAGGCACCTGTGCACTAACGCCCACAGAAGACCCTGTGAGGTTCTCGGAAGGGATTGGGAGTAACTAGAGTGTGGGTTAGAGAAGGAACTGATGAGGGAAGTATGTGTTCCGGCGTGAAAGCTCTTCAGAAGAGCCTGGGCCATTCTGAGAGTGCCGGTCTAGGTCTCTCTTCCCAACAGCTCTTGTGCAAGGCACGGGCTTCCAGAGACAACTCCATGCCTTCACAGACATTCTTGTCTTTGTAAGGAAGCCCAGGAGATGAGCACTGGGTAGTGGCTCGTCACTGTCTTCCTCCTCCAAAGATGGGGCTTTAGGCTGCTGTCTTTGGCAGAGGGCCTCTTCCCAGGGAGAGGTTCTCTCAGCCTCAGAGGTGCCGCCGCTGTCTCTCCTGGAGTTCCTGTGCGCTGTGTACTTGTCTTGAAGGTGTACAGTGTCTTGCTGCCCGTGAGTTAGTTTCTCTGGATGGCACATGGCACAGCGTTCCACGAACCGCTTGGGGACATTTGGCTTCAGAGCAAGAGTGACACTGGAGAGCATCCTTGAAGTCAAATAAAATCACTGCAGTATTTAGATAATCCTCTTCACCTCTCCACCCCGACTTCAGTGACCGTGTTCTCTCCAACCCCTTTTCAAAACGGACTGTTACCTAGTTACTCTAAGAATTCGCAGTTATGAAAAACAATGTTGTGAGGGAACAGTTCCATAAACAATTAGTCACGGTTTTTCTTGTTATATTTTATGTTTCTTTTACTTTCCTTTATCTGAATTGCTCTGAAAAAAAATATAAATTCAACCTGGTACTCAATCTGTATAGCACATACCAATTTAAGGTCTATAAATAGGCCAGAGGCTATTACGTCTTTCATCAATTTGACTGATAGGATTAGCATTCCCCCCCGCTTGGGAAGTGTCTGATTCATACACAGATGTTCACACACACTCACAACCGTTTTCTTCCAGATTCTGCTTTGCTTACCCATCCCCCAATATATAGAGGTTTTCATAAATGGAGAATATTTTCCTATATAATAAGGTTTGGGGTGTGTGTGTGTTTTAATTTTTTTCAGTATTTTTTTCTAATGAGCATGTTCAGGTATAATAAGTACCATTTCAGGGTGGATATTACTGCTCTAGCCACAGCCCAATGTGTGACTCTTTAGTGAGAGAGGAAAGAGCTCCTCCTGATGACAAGAAGATTGACAAATCTGGCCCAAATACTCCAGGTGATTTTAGGGAAGTCAGGATGTCTTTCTAGAGTGTTAGAATCATTTTGCCTTTACTCAAGATAAGCTGAGAAAGAGTTTTCTTCTTAAGGATGACATGGGACAAAATCTTTTCTCTGTTCCCCCAAATGAAGAGAAGGTGGTTTTTGTCCTCTTCTGGATGGGTTTCCAAGTGGGCAATAACAATTCAGTTGTTTGCAAGGCCAAGTGCAAACGTAAGAGATTGTATTTTCCGTTCCCTGTAATCCGGTGCTCAGTATTACCACGGGTGGAAGAAAGATAATTGAAGTGATTTGAAAAGACACAGGAAGGACTGGGGAGATGGCTCCGTGGCTAAGAGCACTTGTTGCTCTTCCAAGAGGACCCAGGTTCAGTTCTCAGCAACCACATGGTGGCTCACAACCATCTGTAACTCCAGGTACAGGACACCTGACACCCCTTTCTGACCCCCATGGGCGTCATGAAAGCTGGCAAAACGTATGCACACAAAACAAATAAACCTAAAACAGGTTTATTGTTTGTTTTAGAATACACACTGCTCTTGCAGAGGACTTGGGTTTCGTTCCCTGTACCACATTGGGCACCTCACAGCCCCTGCAATCCCGGTTCCACAGGATCCAACATCCTCTTCTAGCACCCAAGGGCACCGGGCATGCATGCAGTGCATATGGCTTCATGCCTGCAGCCAACCACATGAAATAGAAATAAATCATTTTAGTTTATTATTTTGTGTGTATAGGTGCTTTGCTTGCATGTATATTTCACACATCTGTGGTGTCTATGGAGGCCATAAGAGGGGATTGGAGTTACTGATAGTTGTGAGTCACCATGTAGTGCTGAGAACTGAACCCAGGTCCTCTGGAAGAGCAACCAATGCTCTGAAACTCTGAGCCATCATCTCTCCAGTCCCCAAAAATTCTCTTTAAAAGAGAAGTGAGTAATAACCAGGTGGTGGAGGCACACAACTTTAACCCCAGCATTCAGGAGGCAGAGGCAGGCGGATCTGTGTGAGTTCGAGGCCAGCCTGGTCTACAGAGTGAGTTCCAGGACAGCCAGGACTGTTACACAGAGAAACCCTGTCTCAAAAAAACCAGAAAGAAAAGGAAAGAACCAAGTAATTTCCTAAGTGAATCAGATTCTATGTGGGAGAGCAGCATGTGCCTTGGATCTGTTTCACATTCTGCTAGTTTTTAAAAGAATCAGTTAAAATATGTTTCATATAAGCTCATAAAACTTTATCCACAGTCACCACAGATGACTAGAAGTAATAGTTACGATGGGATGTAAGATGGACCAATAGAGAGCCATGCTCTAAAGTTGTTTATGGTCAGCTCAGGGTGATGAGATCCTTGTCCTTTAAGAGGGGAGCACTGACAATTAACAGTGGTGTAGTTATGTGGCATCTGGGGTAAAAGCAGGTGAAGGGGGCAGTGTAAGAGGAGAGAAGGCCTCTTGGAGGATGTGGGGGAGGGGTAGTGAAGGCGATTCTTGGAGATTTTGTAAATAAGGGAATTTTGACACAGTTGTTTTCTTGCTGCTTGGCTGAAGACCTTCTGCTTGGTATGTTTTCCCGACTCAGGAGTGGGTTGGGAGGAAGGACTTCAGGGATGGAGACAGAGATTTCAAGTAATGGCTTAGTCTGTGATCCATTGTGAAGAGTTTGGGGCTAGGTGAGGACCAGAGGGCAGGAGAGGAGAGAAGTCCCATTCATCTCTGAATCCTCAGTGCAGCAGAGTGTCTAGTAAGAAACAGTCACTCGGGTGACTTGAAATGAGTTGACTCAGGAAGATAGCTGGGAGGAAACACTTGCAGGCTGTCTCAGCAGTGCGTCTTTGTCTATTGTGTGCAAGGCCCCAGGTTCAATCCCCAGTCCTTGCAGGCTGTCTCAACAGTGTGTCTTTGTCTATCGTGCACAAGGCCCCAGGTTCGATCCCCAGTCCTTGCAGGCTGTCTCAACAGTGTGTCTTTGTCTATCGTGCACAAGGCCCCAGGTTCAATCCCCAGTCCCCCAGCCCAAAAGCATTTGTCTAAACCAGACATGGTAGCCCTTGACAGTGATCTCTATCCTCCAGAGGTTAAGGAAATAGGGTCATGAGTTCAAGGGCAGTCTAGCTATGCATCAAAATTCTATCTCAAAAAAACAAAACAAAACAAAAAAAACAACCAAAAACTGTGAGCAATGGGCATTTACCTAAAAGACTGCTGGGAGCCTAGCTTGGCGAATTGTTAAGCTAAGATTAATTTCAACCACCTGGATAGTTGTTGCTTTTCAGTTTTTCTGGTTGTTGCCAGTGGTGGCCCTAAGAGATCTAACACTGAGCCACACTTTATCCTGGTCCTGTCAGGCTATTGCCTTCAGGTGTATGCTGGTCAAGTGCCCTCATGGTGGCAGGTGCACTGTGGATGTAAACTCCCCCTAAACCTAGACGGGTGTGGGAACAGAAAAAGCGATTTGCTGATGATATCAAAACTCTCATTGACAGCCATTATTCAGTACACGTGCGATGCCACGCACTCAGTATCTGTTCGTCCCTCACAATAACCTCCATGTACCCGGCACACGTTATCTCTTCTCACAGATAAGGAAATGAAGGTTCAGAGGGATAAGCAGTCTGCCAAAGGTCATACAAAGAAAAATTTTGGAGCTTCAAACTTTCAAGCATTATTATCTCTTCTTTATTTTCTCATTATGTGTGTGTGCATGTGTGCATGTGTGCGTGCGTGTGTGTATGTGTGCGTACGTGTGAGCATGTGTGCGTGCGTGTGTGTATGTGTGTGTACGTGTGTGCATGTGTGCGTGCGTGTGTGCATGTGTGCGTGCGTGTGTGTATGTGTGCGTGCGTGCGTGTGTGTATGTGCGTGCGTGCGTGTGTGTGTGCGTGTGTGTATGTGTGTGTGTGCGTGTGTGTGTGTGCGTGTGTGCATGTGTGCGTGCGTGTGTGTATGTGTGTGTGCGTGTGTGTGTGTGTGTGTGTGTGTACTACTCATGTGTAAGCAGGTTGAGAATAACTTGGGGAAAATAGTTCTCTAATGCTACTCCCTGAGTCCTGGATATTGAACTCGGGTCATCAGGCTGGGTGACAGGTACAATCCCCCCACAGAGCCGTCTCGCCAGCTCTGTTTC